GCAAACGGAATTATTTATAGTGTTGACCATGTATAATGTAAGTACCTATAAAATGATTTGAGTTACAAAAGAAACGTAAAAATCGCTTACGATTGAGTTTACAGGAGGACGAAGTACTTTTCGCCCGTACATTTCACGGCGTCGTCAAAAATATTATTCACCTTTGCTCTCGTGATCGTTCTCGAGTTTGGGGCAAGGATGGATGGAAGAAGGTGGTGGTGTGCGTAGTTTCTGATGGTCGTGCAAAGATTAATCGGCGTACGTTAGCTTACCTGGCGGCCATTGGCGTCTATCAAGATGGTATCGCAAAGAATTTTGTAGAGTCTATTAAAGAGGACGGATCAAAAACGAAGAAGGAAGTTACTGCTCATATATTCGAATATACAACTCAAATTTCATTTGATCCGGATATGAAAATGAAGACTGAAGATCTTGTACCCATTCAAGTACTCTTTTGCCTTAAAGAAAAGAACGCCAAAAAAATTAACTCACATCGTTGGTTCTTCAATGCATTTGGAACAATTCTCAATCCCAATGTATGTGTTCTTCTTGATGTTGGTACCAAACCCGGCGGCACTTCGATATATCATTTGTGGAAGGCCTTTGACATTAATTCAAACGTTGCTGGTGCTTGTGGTGAAATTGTTGCGATGAAAGGTACCGCCGGTGTCAACCTTCTCAATCCGATAGTGGCTTGCCAAAATTTTGAATACAAGATGTCTAATATCTTGGATAAACCTCTTGAATCCGTTTTCGGATATATCACCGTGTTGCCCGGGGCCTTCTCGGCCTATCGTTACATCGCTCTACAGAATGATTCTTCCACTGGGTTGGGTCCTTTGCACTCTTATTTCTTAGGTGAAGCAGCGCATTCGACGGATCCCGATGGCGGTGACAAGAAGAAAGGAGAGAAAGACGATATATTCACTGCCAACATGTATCTCGCCGAGGACCGTATTCTTTGTTTTGAATTGGTGGCAAAACGAAACTGTTCTTGGGTATTACATTATGTCAAATCGGCGTATGCCGAAACTGACGTTCCAGATCAAGTACCAGAACTGATTTCTCAGAGAAGACGTTGGCTGAACGGTTCTTTCTTCGCTGGCGTGTACGCGGTATATAACACCTTTGCCATCTGGAGAAGTGACCATAGCATGATCCGAAAAGTTCTCCTACATGTTGAAATGTTGTATCAATCATACAATTTGTTCTTCTCATGGTTTGCCTTGGTAGGCAGTGCATAACATTGTTTCATCTCAATCTCGAATTTCATTTAATCATTGTATTTACGTTTTTAGGGTAACTTCTATTTGACCTTTTACATTCTGGGTAATTCGCTCACTGACCCTGTCGTTATCGAAGGACTTTGGAGTAAAACGGCAGGCGATATTATATTCCAGATTTTACGTTATGTTTATTTAACGCTACTCATCATCCAATTTATTATGGCTTTGGGAAACCGACCACAAGGGTAAGAGAACAGGCGTGTTATTGAAATCACCATCATGCAACATGGTTCGATATTAATTCTCTATATTATTTAAAGTTCTAAGTGGGCATACATAGCCTCGATAGTATTCTTTGCATTTCTCATGCTCTACATGTTATTTGCGGCCGGATGGCTCACTTACAAAGGTATCGCATTCCAACTGGACAGACAAAGAGGGGCTCTTACCGGCGCCAATGTATCCACGGCGAGCGCCATATTGAGCAATGCGACATTTAGAAACATTATCCTCTCCGTCGTAGCCACATATGGATTATACTTTGTCGCTAGCTTTTTGTTCTTTGAACCGTGGCACATGTTCACCAGTTTAGGTCAATACTTATTGTTGGTTCCATTCTACATTAACATATTGAATGTTTACGCTTTTTGTAATGTGCACGACGTTAGGTATATATCTATTTACTCATTTGTATTTGATGAATATTCGTCGCGATCTAATAACGATCTTTATTCGCGTATACTAGTTGGGGTACCAAGGGAGATAATTCAGCTAAACAAGATTTGGGTTCTGCAAAGGTTAGCTCTGGAAAAAGCGAGGTGGAAGTCGAGGTACCTGTCGAAGAAAAAGATATCAATGAGGCATATGAAGAAGCGGTTGAGGAATTAAAGCAACACGTTGAAGAGGAAGTGAAACATCGTTCTCCCAGTGAAAAGAGGGATGATTATAATAAAGCATTCCGTACACGTGTTGTTCTTGCCTGGATCCTTTCCAATGCCGCGTTGGTCGCCGCCATTACAAGTGCCGATTCAACTTTGAGTTCAATGTTACCTCAGCAGACAAGATCTAACACCTACATGGCTTTCATTTTATGGTCCGTCACTGGCTTGGCCGCTTTCAGGTTCTGTGGTAGTTGCACCTTTTTACTCTTTAGATTGTTCACTGGTAACTAAAATGGCTTTACATTACAACCTGAAGCATATCACGAACAGTATTTTTGTTTGTCTTCCTTATACGCTCATTTATTTGCACGAGTTTCACGTTCGTTTTCTTGATTCATGTCTAACAAAAATTCAAGTTACGAATTTCTAAGATGTATATTATTATTATTATTGGTTTATTAATGTCAAAAGTAAACAATTGTATTGCATTACTGCATTGTTTGTTTGCTTACTTAATACAAACACGTTACACCATTTTGATTTGCTTTAAGCAATCTAACCTAAGAATATACGATAGCAATTTTTCGGTGATTTCTTGATTAATTCCGTGGAATCGTGCGTTACGTTCAACGGGAGGCTCGAGACAAGGAGGAAGTTGTTTCTCTTTTTCAACTTGATCCATAATGATTGTAATCCCCTTGCGTACCTTTTCTTTTTCGTTTTCCGTTTTGACTTGAAGAAACGAGAAAGGCAGTAAAGTATTAAAAACAATTTTTTCGATGATATTTCTTATTTCTGTGCTCACTTCCGATTCGCTAGCCTTTTGATTGATGGAAAAGGCGAATCCTGTTCCACAGCTCGATTTTCGATTTTTTCGTTGTCCGTTTTGTGAAATATTGGAGAATATCATTTTTTTTTTCGTATTTTCCACTCGTTCCATATTTCTCTAGTCCAAAAGGAAAAAGTTGTTTGAGGATGATTTTTTCCCTGTGGCAGCATTTTCTTAAAAACTTCGTAAAAGAAACTTCTAAACTCCACGAAAGGATTGATAGGTTGATATTTTCGATATTTCGAACATAAGATTGTGTTTTTGCTGCTTCCGTAATTTGCTTTGCAAAGAGTGCAGACTTTTGTTTTTTTTCATCTTTTTGTATTGCTTTTTGTATGGGTTGGCTTCACTTTGCTTTTCTTTGAGAAGAGAACGATCGATGCCCATGATGACTAATGAAAAAGTTGCTCGAAGAAAATCTCTAAAATATCTGTGCAACAAAAGAATAACCTTTTTGTTAAAAAGTTTTTTCTCGATGGGTAGGCCTATAAAAATCGCATGCCGAATTAAGCAACAATCGAGATTATATAAAATTCTCATTACGGACCGAATGATTGCAAACTTTTTTTAAATGCATTTTACTATAGTTTCTCTAGCAGAGTTTTAGTTGCTATTTTCGGCCGCAGAGGGGGTGTTCTTTATGCACTACCCTTACGGCACTTGTGCGTCACCTGTGCAGGTGCGCTTACAATGATTTCGAGTGAAATTTCCGTACTATAGTTATTTATATTGTTTAAATAGATTTTCGGATTTTATTTCCGGTATGTGGAAATTCGAAAGCCGGAAATCAAAAAGCGAAAATCGAAAATCGGAAAAAAATAAAGCAAATAATGTTTGTAATTAAAAAATAAAGTAAAGAAATAAAAAAATAAAACAAAGAAATAAAATTTATAAATAAAAATAAAACAAAGAATAAAAATAATTTCGCGTAAATTTCGTGAATTCGTGACGATCTTTTGAGTATATTTTTTTTTAGTTTATGTATATTTTCTCAAAAACTAGCAATTTTATTTAGATAAAATTTTAACATGCTGTAAATAGTTAGATTTGATATACAGTAACATATTAAAATATTATTTAAATTCTAGTTTTTGAGAAATTTTATTAAAACAATAGAAAATATCTGGTCGGTCTTATATTAAACACGTGATATCGTATATAATGTAAGGGATTTCCGTAATTCGGAAATTTCACTTGAAATCATTGTAAGTGCACCTGCACAGGTGACGCACAAGTGCCGTAAGGGTAGTGCATAAAGAACACCCCCTCTGCGGCCGAAAATAGCAACTAAAACTCTGCTTATCCGCCTTCGAAAAGAATTACCCATGTATCGTTTAAAAGTAGGGACCGAAAAAATCATATCTAGCCTTCAAAAATAATTACCCAAATGGGTAATTCTTTTCGAAGGCGGACAGGGATTTTTCGGTCACTATAATTGTGATCCTAAAATTTACATTGTTTATGTATTGTTTAAAAAGTAGGGACCTAAAAAATCATATTTAGCATTTTTACTGCCTTCAAAAATAATTATCCAAATATGATCGGTATATGGGTAATTTATTTTTGAAGACGACAAAAATGCTAGATATGATTTTTTTCGGACCCCACTTTTAAAAAATACACACATAATGTAGTACCAGAAAATTTCCGGTCCAGCTTCGAAATAATTACCCATATACTAACATTCCATGCGAACGAATTTTCTTGGTTCAAAACAAGATGCACAAATCAAGAATTTTCTAAGTCACGCGAACATTGCGCTAGTCATTTTTCTCAAACCGGATGCATCTATGATTAGAAAACCATCTGTATGAGAAAGCATAAATGATCATTGATGATTAAATAATATTTATCACGAATTACTTTTCGTTGGAATATTGTGCTCTGACACACGTTTACAAGTTTGTATTTTAGGTACATGTGAATTACCATTTATAGAAAGTCAGAAACCGATTGGAATAAGAAAATGTGGACACAAATGATGTTATATACTGTACTGTAAAACCTTTGTTTCTTTCTAGTTCTTTATATAGATGACAAATAAAATGTCAAGGTTTATGATGGTTAAAAATTAATAGATAAATAAATTTGAGTTATCTTCAGATTAGATAAATCGGATCAAATTACTCTCACATCATGGAGCGGGATCGACAACGGCGAAATCCGAGGATCCTAATAGATAATTACCTTAAATAATTGGCCAAGAGTGAATTAATACGAAAATAACCAAGGTCGTATTAAGTGATCTGAGCACTTAAATCAAATTAATCTTTACACCTCTAAGCTTTAAGAAATGGGTAATTCTTTTCGAAGGCGGACAGGGAGTTTTCGGACCCCAGAATAATTACCCCGAAAATTTATATTAATACATATATACAATATAAATTCCAAAAATAGATCTGACCCCTAAATATATTAATCGAAATAATAGATACGGTATATACGGTATATACTTATATAATCACGTGATTGATAGTCACGTAACGAAATTTGCGTGAAATTCGCGAAACTATAAAAAACCATAAAAACCAACATTAATATTTTGCGAAATTAACTTTATTTCAATATAATAATTAATATAATTTTAAATAAATAAATATTTTTTTATTCTTAATTAATTTTTTTAATAATAAATAATAAATTAAATTAAAGAGATTTTTTTTTAAAAAAAAAATTAAGAAATATAATTAAATATAAAATAGAACTTGCATGGGAGGAAATAGCTGGACCCAAAGTCATATATAACTATTCCTATACTTTAGGTTCTATTTTATATTATTGTTAAATTATATCTCCATTGGAATAGGAAAATTAGGTACTTTTTCTATTCTAATAAGTAATCTTTGTCTACTTTTACTATCCATTACTATTGAGGTGTTTGTTAATTGTCTGGATGGTGCATATTTTGTTTTTCTTGTATCTTTAACTATTTTTATCTTTAAGGGAATTTCTATATAATCTTTAAAATTAAATGTATTAAAAGTTGAAATATATAATTTGTTGTTAAATCTTATAAATGATAAATATGAAAAAAAATTATCTATAGTTAATTTGTGAATATTATTTCTAGGTTGAGTACATGAATAGATATCAAAAATAATATTGGAAGAAAATTGAATTTTGCTTTCAAAAAAATTAATTAATTCTTCAAGGATATGAATGTTTTGAATTGCTTTACCTTCAGAAAACTATCTTGATAATACACCAAAGTGATTATCAACAATGTTTTTTCCATGATATTTAGCAAAAAAATTAAGAAAAAATCTTTTGTTATAATGGGATAGTAAATAATTAAAAATAAAGTGTAATAGTTTAACTGATCTAAAATGAGGACCAGAATTTGACCAAAAGCAAATTTCATGAAATTGTGACATAAAAGGATTTGAAAGAAGTTGATTGATACAATCAGAAACAAATAAAGAATCATGGGATAAAATTTTTTAAAAAAAGTCAAAATATTGTGTTTGGATTGTACCATTATTATCTTTATAATAAATAACAAATTCTAAAAGAGAAATTTGTGTTTTTTCATAAAAATTTTTACCAGTTTCAATAAGACTACCACCAATTTTAAAATTTTCTTTAAAATCCATAACTATAACACAAGAAATATTTGTGATACAATCAATAGATTTTTGATAAAGATGTTGTTGTTGGGTTTTGAAATAAAGATGTTGATGATAAAGGTAAATTTGATTTTGTAATTGAGAAATAAGATAGGTATTAGAAAGATTGATTGGTTGTAATTTTTTTTCAATTTTTTTTCCTTCAACACAAATTGGACACATATCTGTTTTTTTTTGTGCTTTTTGGTTTTTTCTAAGTAATAAATGGAAGTGGAATTAAAATTGGTAGAAATATTTTCAAGAGAAATAGAAGTTTTAGAAATTGGCATGTAATAGTAGATAATCGAGATTTTGTAAAAGGGAATTAAGAATAAGTTCAATAGTTTGTTTGGTAATAGCAGATTTAGAAGAAGGAATATATCTTTGATAATTTGATTAAAAAAAAGATTGATCATTTGTTTTTTTTAAAGAGGTATTGAATTGTGTATTACTAAAGTGAAAATCAAGATTTGTTAATTCTGATCTACTATATAAACCAGTTATTAAAGATAAAAGATTGGGTTTATATTTTGTAGAAGAATTTGTGTGCATAATTTTAAGATTGTTAAGGATTTGTTTAATTTTTTTTGCATGTTTTGAATCTGGAAAAAATGTTTTTCCAATATTAGATTGGTTAAAGAAATAATCATATAATTGGATTGGATTATTTCCTGATAAATGAGAAACCACATCATGTAAAATTGAAGCAACAAAATTTTTTTGAGAAGGAGAATAAGAATTCAAGGGTAAAAAGTAAGGGGTGGGAATGAAGTAGTTTAGAAATATGGGTATTTATTTTTGAAGGCAACAAAAATGCTAGATATTATTTTTTTGGTCCCTACTTTTAAACAATACATGCACAATGTAAATTTTAGGATCACAATTATAGTGACCAAAAAATCCCTGTCCACCTTCGAAAAGAATTACCCATATATACTAATTTCATAAGTTATACGAAAAAATAGTACAACGATCATCGATTTGAAGTGGCAGGAGGACTGAGGGGGTTAGATAATGTCACAGAGTTTATAAATAATATAATTAATGTTATTTATCAATAGAAAAAAGGCCAATTGTTTACATGACTCGAGTATTCCATCTCCTTTAAGATCGTCATACGCAAGGATTGAACGGCAACTCATGTGAAACAGGTACGGTATGCGGCATTGATTATGTGTATTATATAGAGCATAATCATTAGGGACACACTTATATCGAATCTTGACATTAATACATAATTTTGCTTTGGAATTCGGTATTTATACTTAATTGGGTTCAAATCTAAAACCCAAATGCGCGTCCCATTTCAATCAAACAACTTAAAAACCAATCAAGTTTGTTGGATTGATTAAAATACGATATTGACGCATTGGAAAATATCAAATTTAAAGTGGCATGACTCAGCACCTTAGCAAAATGAATAGTAACCAGGAAATCACTTTTTTCCTTTTCAGTATAGTTTATGTCTATTGATAGCTTTTTTTTATTAATCGTATTGGACCAAATAAATCTATCATACATACCTATGCTGAATAGATTATAAAGGAAAAGCTTTCATGGTTAAATAAAAGTTCTTCGGATCATAATTAATTCTTTTAACAAAGTTTTTAAACCAATAAATTGATTTTCTTATGTATACATGATTGCTATTGTATCATCATAACCGATTATACAGTAAGACCTAAGTTAAAGCTAGCGCAGAAAAAAGTTATAAAAATTAGTGTACTATATCCACGGTAGCAAGTTACAATTTGACGTATTAAAATTTGTATATTGGATGAA